CCTGGGCAGAATTGACATTTCACAAGTTCTCATCCCAAACCATTTTTATACTCGTCCAAGCAGACTTTTTACAGATCCTCTTGAGATCTTTGGCTTATTTTCAGTTCTTAGGGCTAGAGAGAACAAGTTTTGGAAGCTAGGGCTTTGCACACACACTTTGGTCTTGAAGATTGAAGCTTTTGGTTGAGAATTTCTTACCCATTTATGTTGCTTTCTTCATTTCCTTGCTTTGTATTGTATATCTAAGTGTGTAGTATTTTATTCAACACTTAAATCTTGTTTATGGAAATATTCATGTTTAAAGTGTGGATTAAATACCTTGTTGTGCTTATGTATTGAATGATTTGTATTTATTTATGAAGTGAGTTATTGTTATTTTAATTATTCTTGTTCTTTAATGTTTCCAAAGGGATTAGCTAACCCCTGGACTCGCCCATTAACTCCGAATTAATTTTGGAAAAGATAATTTGGTGTTGGGAAAGATTAATTAACAAGAACTTGTGGCGTTAACCCTCATTTTATAGATTCTACCTAGGGATAGGATTGAACTACTTGTAGCCATTCCGGGTTTGCTTAATCTTCTAATTGTTTTAGGGATAATTCAATTAGGAAGTCTTGTTAGTCTTCGGAGGAAGCTAATTAAGAATTATTATCCGTGGCTAATTAACATAAACTCGCTCATATTTGTAAATCATGAAATACATTGGATCGTTGCTCGAGTGTAGTTCCCGATGCAATCATACTTGTAGCCATTGATTATTTTACTTGCTTTCTTGGTTAGTTTACATTTCCGCATTTAGGTATAAATATTTTCAAACTAAAATTCTTAGTGTTTGGCATTGCGCGATAAGCGATAATTTTCTTACATTCCTAATCGCCTACACATTGTTCTATGTGGGATTCGACCCCGACTCATAGTTGGGTAAATTATATTGCATACGACCGTGTCTATTACTTTTTAGTAGTGGATTTGGACGTCATCAAAAAGCACAAGCAGTTTTGACTTTTCTTACCAAAAATAACTGTAGCAAAATATGGTATATATCAAACTAACCTTACTTATTTTAAATCTAATACTTAGAATTAGAGATTATGTGATTGAACTCTCCTAATGTATAATTTTTATTTTTTATTTTTAGGATAGCTTTCTAATATATGGTGAATTTTAAGATGAATGCTTTTGTATTTGTTAAATAATTTTTTGATATATTTAAATCATCTTGAAAGAATGAACGTACTTTTAAATTTTATTTTCATATTTTACTTAAATATAATAAAAAAAACTTAATTATTATTTTAATAATAAATATTTGAGATTATTTATTTAATAATATGATATTTACTATTAAGTAAATCTCTTCATGTCCTAATTCGTAATTTGATACTTAAAAGCACTTTTTAAAAAGTTTGACCAAACACAAATTATCTTTCCAAAAGTAATTTTTCGAAAGCAATTCTAAAAAAGACACTTTCCAAATTAAGCAGATTCCCGCTTGACCAAACAGACTATTGGACATGTTATTATTAAAAAATGGGTGATCTTACCACCTCAAACAGACTATTGGACATGTTGCTAATTAAAAAATGGGTGATTTCACCACCTCCATTCCTTAGGGAGTAAGGACCATACGTCCAAAAGGCCATATTGTTTATCCATCGCACATGGAACTTCGTCTATGCTTGCGTCGGGTATAGAGTATATTGTGTAACCTCTCGTCCGGTGCCACGTATAAGAAGCCACCTGAAGCTTCTCGAAAGGCAATCTAGACTTTATTTCAATTTTTTCATTCAACTTTTTCGGAAGCTGTCCGTAACGTAGCTTCTGGTTGTTTATTCTTTTGTCGCTTTTTTCTTTTTATATTTTTCCCTTATCACCATTTCCTCCTTTCCTGAACTTTCTAACTCTTTCCATCTCATCTGTAAGAAACACAGTTCACCCCCCCCCCCCCCCCCTAAAAAAAAAAACCCAACACCTCTATGTGTCGTCGGAACCTTCTAGAATAACCAAAAATCCCAACGGACGTCTTTCCTGCAACTCTCCTGCCTCCCTGCAATTTTGGCTCCAGATCTGCTGCAAGTAGCATCTTCACTCAAGTATGTAATTTTGGAATATAATTTACCTTTTATTTGATATCTTTGCGCGCAAAAGGTCTTGTATTGAATTTAACGATCTTTAGTTAAGGTGAGAAACGATGACTCCGCCGATAGAGCGGAACGGCGGGGAAACAGCGGCCGGTGAAACGGCGAGGTCTGTCCCGACGCCGTTTTTGACAAAGACGTATCAGCTCGTCGAGGATCCTTCCATGGACGACGTAGTCTCTTGGAACGAAGACGGATCTACCTTTATCGTATGGAATCCGACGGACTTTGCTAGAGATTTGCTTCCTAAATATTTTAAGCATAACAATTTCTCTAGCTTCGTGCGGCAGCTCAACACCTATGTAAGTGCGACTATCTGAATTCGTTAGATTTGGCATCAAATATAGAAAAAGTCAGTGTTTTTTCGTTGATGATAAATGCTTTAATTCCGTTTTATAGGGATTCCGGAAAGTTGTACCTGATCGATGGGAATTCTCAAACGACTGCTTTCGGAGAGGTGAAAAAAGTCTGTTACGCGATATCCAGCGTCGGAAAGTAGTGACGCCGATTGCAACTCCTTGCGCAGCTGCAACTGCGGTCGTGACTGTGGCTGCTCCGCCTGCTCAGCCACTGTGGACTGCAATATCTTCGTCGGATTCCGGTGAAGAGCAAGTTGTATCTTCAAATTCATCTACCGGTGGCACAACGGAGCTGCTGGGAGAAAACGAACGGTTAAGGAAGGAGAATCTACAGCTCAACAAAGAGTTGAGCCAAATGAGGAGCCTCTGTGGCAATATATACTCTTTGATGTCGAATTACGCAGACCCTTCCACCAGCGGTAATCAGTCGGCGGAGAGTATTTCACCGGCGGTAAAGCCACTTGACCTCTTACCGAGGAAACGGTCTGTTGGTGAATCGGATATTAATAAGGCCGTGGGCGATTGCGGGAAGCGGGCTGAACCCGAGGATATTCGGGCGAGATTATTCGGTTTCTCTATAGGTATGAAACGTGTGAGGGAAAGCGATGAAGCAAGGGCGGAGCATGATCAGGAATTACGCCTGCAGCAGCCTGGGAACGGCGTGAAATCAGAACCGTTAGATCAGGAAAATGGCGGTGAAAACGAAGAGAGATCGTGGCTGATACATTGCAGTGGACGAAATCAAAGGGTGTGTAATGATAGTGAGGTTGGTGTGAGCAACTTTAGATTAGATTAGACGTTAGAGATTAGACGATCTTAAACTAAAAGAGCTCTAGATTAAACAGGTGTTAATTGTGAAATGTGACTGCATATGTACGAGGAAGTGCACGTGCTAAATCACGTGATGCCATGTGAGGACTATCTTCAAGAAGCTTCGTTGAGGACCTTTTGATGTCTTTCGCTCTTCACCGTCATTTTCGTTGTTGACAATTTTTTGAGAAGGTTCTCTGAAAAAATTCTTTATAAAAAAATTGTAAACAGGAAAGTACGCTTATGTGCTTGATCCTCTTGTTATTTTTTGAGTGCAAGGAAAAATGTTGCTCAAAATACTTGCAGATACTACTTTTTGACGAAATGAATTACAACCTACTTCAGAATAAATCTGTTTGTTCCTATTTTTTTATTTTGGAGATCTTTTACATGATAGAACTCTTATTAAAATTTATTTATACAAATAATAGTAGTTTTGCTTTATTCCAAAAAAAGCACATTTTATTTACAGTTATAGCATGTTAAAAGATTCCTTACCTTATTTAAGGTCATCAATTTCTTAAACATAAACATTTAAACACTAACCCACGATTAGTTTTGAGCCATATTAATCTATTCACAATTCACTCTCATCATTAATTTGAACTTTTTAAACTTACTATTTGTCTATGAAAAATAAATAATAAAAAGTTACAATTAGCACCGCAGAATATTGTAGGTTGTAAGCTAAAAAGAAAGACAAGCTAAAAAGGAGTTGACAATATATATATATACTAGTCTCTATTTCACGTGCCTCGCACGTGGGGCCTTATAACTATATATACTAGTCTCTATTTCACGTGCCTCGCACGTGGGGCCTTATAACTAAAAAGAGAACGATAAAACAATTAACCAACATAACTTGAATCTTAATAGATAGTTTGAGGATGTTTGTTACTTGGATTCTAATTCTTTATATATGTCCTAATATATTTTTACGACATGACTTAAAAGAAAGATTTACAAAAAACTATCATGATTGTAGGACGTGAATTTTTTTTTTGTACTATTGTAAATTTATGGTAAAATGAAGACCATTCCTTCTCTAATTGAGGCATTTTCCCCTTTCATTTAAGGATTCTTTAGCCAAAAATTTCTATAGCAGATAAAATATATTTATGTATTACTTTAAACGCTTTTATTACGCGGAAAGACTCTTACACCCGATAAAATTTCACTTTTGCTTTTTAATCCATGCGACAATCTACCCATAGTTAAAAGTTACTCAAAAGTTTTCAAATATAAAATACGGATTGAATTCAAAGTTTTCAATATTAGAAAAAGTTCTAAATTTGACAATTTTATCAACAAATAATTATATTTTAAAAAATTTACCTTTTAAAATCTATCATTTTATTCTCAAATCCATCATATACATGTAGCGGTTAATTCTTCTTCTGTAAACTAAATTAAGCTGGTAACCTGAAATATATTATATTTAAGTCTAACAATAATACACAAATAGTGAGACTTTTCTTGACAATATTAGGCCGTTCAAAATTCAAGCACAAGTAATAAGCTTTTAACTCATAAAATATACAATATCCTGCTACACAATATTAAACAATAGTGTAAAAAGGATTTACACTATTAAATTTAAAATACAATTTGAATACATTGGGACATCAAGTCGTTTCAATGGTAAGCAAAAGTAGTCACCGGATACTCCATTGATTTATCAACATGAAACTTCTGGAATACATAATCTAGAAAAAGACTGACAAAAAAAAAAGTTAATGGCTACAATTTGAAATACTAAAAAAAAACATAAAATTAATTTACCAGTAAAGGATTTATATGTATTACCTTTATTCACTGAATCTAAACACATGAGCCCTTTTTATAAATTTATATTATATTAAAAGCACGAAGCCCCTTTGCGAAGTTTTATTCGCCTTTATTACTCTTTAAAAATTGAATTCACTTTGGATAAAATAGTATTAAATTATTTACTTAATTTAGAAATTTGAAATCAACTAAAATTTTGCTTACTAAATCTTTCTTTATTCGAACTACAATATATGAAGTCTTAATGTGTAGGACCTTAAAATCAATTGAATTTACCTAATTATTTTATTATTTGAACTAATTGATAAACTCGATAACAATAAATGCAATTGGTCAATAATTAAAGATTTTAAAAGAATTGAAATAAATTGATAAATCTCGCACGACAAACTATCAAAGATGACGTAAATATTAAATTGGATACAAAATCTTGATTTTTAAAACATGTACCAAAATTTTACCTTCATATGCAATACTTATGTTTTTTTCTTTTTTTTTTTAATCATGTTCATCGAAAGTTCAAAAAAATTTACGCTTTCATTTGAGTCATTTAATTATATTTTTAATATTTAAAACTTTGACATTAACTAAAACTTTAAAGACCAAATCTCTCTCGATTTGAATTAGTATTATCATAAAATTCTAACGAATTAAATGTTTAGAACTTTGATATTAACGAAAATTTTGAAGACTAAATCTCTCTTTATTTGAATTATATTTTATCATAAAATTCTAACCAATTAATGTTATTTACTTAATTATCTTAGAAAAAAAAGACTTAAGTAATAAACTATGTAAAGTGGATATTGCCGGTTGGCACTTATCTATTTTTTCGTATTCTTAATTATTGATTTTTAACCAGTTTATTGTTGTATAATATTGGAGATGGGGTAGCGGCGAATTGGTGCTGGAGGATGAATCCAAAATTAATTTGGATATGTTATGAACAATAAAAGAAGAAGAAGAAGAATATTGCAGAGAAAAGTAGGGAGAGAAAATTCTTATTGATTATGGGATCATTTACAATGGAATAGAACCCTCTATTTATAGGGAGAGGGTGACTTAGCCACCAAGCAATGAACCCTAGAATCTCTCAAAATATAGACATTCACCATAAATATAATTCTATTTATCACACTCCCCCTTGAATGTCTATCTACCATATAATGTGCCTCGTTAAAACCTTAACTAAAATAAAATCCAATGGGAAAAAAAATTCTAGTAAAGGAAAAAGAGTACACATATCTAACAATACGCTTTTTGGTTGCCTCGTTAAAAACCTTGCAAGGAAAATCCAGTGGGACAAAACCTTGTAAGAGAAAAAGAGTACAACGCGTATTAACTCCCCCTGATGAGAGCATCAATTCACATCCTTGAGCTTTCACATTCCAATCTTGTGCACCATCTTCAAAAGATCGTTGGTAGATATTTGATAAACAAATCAGCCATATTAACTTGAACGAATTTGTTTCACCTTGAAATCATCATCCCTAATAGATGTATTGTCTTAATATGATCTTGTTGGAATCGTCAGTTCAATATCTTCACATAGAGGTGAAAACTCTTGCTATCATATTATCATGCCTATAGTTATAGCAAGATACAGTTGTGCACAAATTGCACTGAGGAAGTGGTACTTCAAGATCAAGAATTGTATATGCTTCAAGCAACTTAAATCCTTCATGGATTGTCATATAAGTTAAGTCATATAAGCCATATAATAGACTTTAGATGCATATCAAGTTTTCATGTCATGCTAGACATATAAGATATCGAAAAATGATTGCACATACCATTGACTAAGACTGCAGGTCCAAAACTACATGTCTTTCATATGGAACCAAATTATACTTGAATTGTTTCTCCAGACTTAAGATCATCATATATATTTAGCGCTATTATAGATGTCGTCGACAAATATTTTATATCGGTTCCAACCTCCTTATTTTTCATAAAGACATAACATAGAGATCTCTTCTGTCACGATCCTAAACCCGGACCCGGCCGTGATGGCGCCTCTCGTGAAGACAAGTCCAGCCGACACACTCCCGATTCATTTCAAGCAATTAAAGTAATAAGTATTAAGTCTTTAATATGATAAAATCCCAAAATAAATAGCGAACAGTACAATTTGCAGAATTAAAACAAACACAGCCCGACATCGGGGTGTGTCGGTTGGCCTTGTCTTCACGAGAGGCGCCATCACGACCGGGTCCGGGTTTAGGGTCGTGACAAGTTGGTATCAGAGCCTATTACATAGGTCTCACGAGTCATGAGCAGGTTTAGTAGAGTTTCACGGATCGGTACGGAGACGTCTATATTTATCCTCGAGAGGCTGCAGAACCATTAGGAAAATTCTATATTCTTGAAATTCTTGTCGTGCGAATCTGTTGATCCGAGTACTAAACTTCTGTTATTCTATTCCTTCACAGATGGTGAGGAAACGAGCGACCGGTCAGGATGGACGACCACCAGTACCACCAGCTGGAGCCACTAGAGGCCGAGGACGCGGTCGAGGCCGTGGTAGGGGAAGAGGTGCAGCCCACACAGCAGCTGGGGCAGCACCTGCAGATCCACCAGCTGACCCAATTCAGGATCAAGTCCTAGTTGTGGACGCTCCAGCAGCACCAGCTCAGGCACCAACTGTGCCCATTGTGATTCCGGGTCTTCAGGAGACTTTGGCCCAGATTTTGACAGTATGTACGAGTCTTGCTCAGGCGGTCGCGGTCTCTACTGCCGCAGCCACTTCTCAAGCAGGGGGAGGCTCTCAGACTCCCGCCGCCCGCACACCCGATCAGGTGGTTCAGGGATTGCAGACACCGGAGGCACCACTAGCCCAGTCGGTGGCAGCTGCTCAGGGTTACGTAGCTCCAGTTATGCCAGAGGACGAGCAGCGTAGGTTGGAGAGGTTTGGCAGACTCCAGCCTCCTACTTTCAGTGGTGCAGAGGGCGAGGATGCCCAGGGTTTCTTAGGCTGATGTCAGAGGATTCTTCGCACCGCTGGTATTCTAGAGACCAGCAGGGTTGCATTCATGACCTTTCAGTTTACCGGAGCTGCCTTCACTTAGTGGGAGGCATATGAGAGGCGTAGGCCTTTTGGTTCAGCACCTCTTACTTGGTAGCAGTTCTCCGCTCTATTTTTGGAGAAGTATGTCCCACAGTCCCGTAGGGAGGAGCTGCGTAGGCAGTTCGAGCAGTTATGACAGGGGGAGATGACTATTACTCAGTACGAGATGAGGTTCTCAGAGTTAGCTCGACATGTTATTTGGCTGGTTGCTACGGAGAGAGAGAGGATCAGGAGGTTTGTTGATGGCCTCACATACCAGCTTCGGGTTCTCATGACTAGGGACAGGTGCTACGTTTGAGGAGGTTGTGGATATCGCTCGTGAGATTGAGTCAGTCCGTTGCCAGGAGCGCAAGGAGAGGGAGGCCAAGAGTCCTCGAGGTCATGGTAGTTTTGGGGGTGCTCCTTCGAGGGGCCAGTTTCAGCACGGCAGAGGTCGTCAGTTCAGGCATGCTCAGTCAGCTCGCCCAGGTTATCATGGGGGCATAATCAGGCCATGGTTCTCACGGTTCTCAG